GGAGGAGGGAAACGCGGGGAGTGAACCTGGGAGACCAAGGACAAGACCGTGCTGGGACATGTGACGCAGACGCGGGAGCGCAGGGTGACCTAGGCGGTGGTGCCACAGGAGGGTCGGGTGAGTGAGGGAGCGACAGGAGCAGGCAGCAGCAACCTGGGTAGACACAGCCACCTGAGGGGGCGCTCCAGCCGGGGGGGGCACGGTGTCCAGAGTGAACAGGCCGGACACCGGGTCCCGGGGGAACGTGGACAGGGGGGCACCAGTGGCGGCCTCGATACAGACAGCATACCGCTCGTGACCAGGGAACGAAGTGGTGACGCCAAGGTCCTGGAGGCAGCCGACACCAACTAGGTTCCTGGAGAACGAGGGGATATGCAGACCTGTAAGAGAGCCCGAAGGAACCGCCGGACAGGGAAGGGTGGTGGAACTGCGGGCGACTACCGGACCGCCGGAGGGGTCAGCAAGAGAAACGGCAGCAGGAACAGGAAGCGGCGTCAGGGTGGTGGAGTCGCGGAAGAAACACCGAGAGGCGCCAGAGTCCAAGGTGAAGGAAAGCGAAGCCGAGGGGTCTGGCGACGGAACGACGGCAGAAGCACCAAGACTACACAAAGCAGGGGATCCTACGCCTGACGCAGCAGGGGGGGCTAAGCTAGGCACACCTACACTAGGCAATAGTGAGTAATAAGTCGGAAGCACACTAGAGTCATCAGCATACATCACATGCAGAGCAGAAACAATGGCATCCATGTCCATATCAAAGATCTGAATCTGACGACTAAGCAAACTGTGCCAGTCCGGGAGGTCTGGCGACGGGCCGAAACGCTGACGAAAGAGGTCGTCCAGGCGACGAAAGCAGCGGGGACTGGAGTGACCGATCTTACCGCAAACGAAACCGCGGCGAGGACCGGTCTGGATCTGGTACTGACAACGCCCGCCGGAAGAGCCACCTCGCGGCACACCACCACGCGCCCGTCCACCGCCAGCGCCGGGCCACCCTGGCGGGAGAACACTCGTCTGCCGCGTCTGCGACGGCTGCTGCGGCTGCTGCGAAGGCTGCGACTGCGGCGGCTGCTGCGGCTGCTGTAACTGCAGGGGCGGCGACTCAGCTGGACTGGGCAGGGTCCCCTCGTCCGCTCCAGCACCAGGCGACCCGACCCCACCACTACCCCCGGCCGCACCCCCACCGCCCCCTCCGCCGCGCCCAGCCTTGGGGCGGCGGCCCTTCCCCGAACGGGCCTGCGCTGCAGCAGCAGTCTCAGCCACTGCGGCAGAGCCGTCGGAGAAGGTACACTGAGCAGGGGCACAACCCTGAAAGAAAGGGACCGGCACGACACCGCTCGCCTGGGCGATGGAGCGGTGATGGGTCTCTATCACAGTCAGGGTGTCGACAAAGTCAGTGAGGGTGAGGTCAACGGGGTGAAGGCTAAGGAAGCGGTCGCGGGCGACAGCAAGGCGGTCAGGGAGGCGGGTGGCAAGCAGGTAGAGGGTAGAGGTAATAGGCGGCTGGTGGGCTCTAAGCTGTGCGTCAGTGCAGGCGGCGCGCCAGGTCTCCTCTATCGAGCGCAGGTGGGCAGCGAGGTCAGAGACAGTGGGGAACGAAGCAAGGTCAGGAAAGAGCAGCGGGAGGATCAGGCGGCCCACCGAGGCAGCCGGAGGGGTGGAATAGCGCTTGATGACAGCATCTAAGTATGCCTGAGCAGTAGTGAGGGACCTAAAGCGAGGACGCTCGGACGGGGGGAGGGCGTTGCTAATGGCAAGCTGGGCGACAGCATCGCGAGAAAGCCAGACAGAGCGCGCACGGGCAGTGGCAGCAGTAGACTCACGCTCAGTGGGTGTGGGGTCAGCGGGCAGAATAGCAGGAGGGTCTGGGCAGGGGAGCGTACCGTCAAGGTGTGCGGAAAGCGGTTCACCATCCTGCCGCTGGCCAGTGAGTTGGCGGCGGAGGTCGGCAAGCCACGCCTCGAACTCTAGGGGCTGACCTTCAGCGTCGAAGCGAAGCTCCGCCGCCATCAGGAACAGTCCAGTGCTGTGCAGGGCGGTGCAGTGCGGTGCAGTGCGATACAGTGCGGTGCAGTGCGGTACTGTGCGGTATAGTGCGGTGCAGTGCGGTACTGTGCGGTACAGTGCGGTGCAGTGCGGTGCAGTACGGTACAGTGCGGTACTGTGCGGTGTAGTGCGGTGCAGGGCGGCACGGAGCAGGGCGGGGTGGGGGGGGGGGGGGGAACCGTACCAGTGAGGAGGACGGGGCCGGGGCTGGCCCGACGGGGCCGGGCGAGCGCGACGGGGCCGGGCTGATGCGACAGGGCCGGGACAGGGCGACGGGGCCGAGCAGGCGCGACGGGGCCGGGCTGGGGCGACGGGGCCGGGCGTGTGCGGCAGGGCCGGCCCGGTGCGACGGGGCCTGGCGAGCGGGACGGCGGCCGGGCTGGTGCGACGGGGCCGGGCGGCTATGACGAGGCCGGGCAGGGTGCGACGGGGCCGGGCGGGTGCGACGGGGCCGGGCGGCTGCGACGGGGCCGAGCGAGCGCGACGGGCCGGGCAGGGTGCGACGGCGCCGGGCGGGCGCGACGGGGCCGGGCGGCAGCGACGGCGCCGGGCGGGCGCGACGGGGCCGGGCGGCGGCGACGGCGCCGGGCGGGCACGACGGGGCCGGGCGGCGGCGACGGGTACGACGCGGCCCAGGAGGGGCGCTACGGGGCCCAGGAGGGGCACGACGGGGGGGGCCCAGGAGAGGCGCGACGAGGCCCAGGAGGGGCGCTACGGGGCCTGGGAGGGGCGCGACGGGGCCTGGGAGGGCGCGACGGGGCCCAGGAGGGGCGCTACAGGGCCCAAGGAGGGCGCGACGGGGCCCAGGAGGGGCGCTACGGGGCCCAGGAGGGGCGCAACGGGGCCCAGGAGGGGCGCTACGGAGCCCAGGAGGGGCGCGACAGAGCCCAGGAGGGGCGCTACGGGGCCTGGAAGGAGCGCGACGGGGCCCAGGGGGGGCGCGACAGAGCCCAGGAGGGGCGCGACGAGGCCTGGGAGGAGCGCGACGGGGCCCAGGAGGGGCGCTAGGGGGCCTGGGAGGAGCGCGACGGGGCCTGGGAGGGGCGCGACGGGGCCTGGGAGGGCGTTACAGGGCCCAGGAGGGGCGCTACGAAGCCCAGGAGGGGCGCGGCGAGGCCCAGGAGGGGCGCTACGGGGCCCAGGAGGGGCGCGACGGGGCGCTACGGGGCCTGGGAGGAGCGCGACGGGGCCCAGGAGGGGCGCTAGAGGGCCTGGGAGGGGCGCGACGGGGCCTGGGAGGGGCGGGACGGGGCCTGGGAGGGCGGTACAGGGCCCAGGAGGGGCGCTACGAGGCCTAGGAGGGGCGCTACGGGGCCTGGGAGGAGCGCGATGGGGCCTGGGAGGAGCGCGACGGGGCCCAGGAGGGGCGCTAGGGGGCATGAGCGGAAGCGGTAGGTGGGGGGGGGGATCCTACCTACGCGTGATACCATATCAGAAAATTGAATGATAGTGATAGAGGGAGAGTACACACAATATAGCTAAGTGTTGTACCCTCTAAGAGGCTACCCTATACAGTCTATACAGACATAACAAATAGACATGTTTGACAGCATGAACTCGAACGTCCCCGGTGAAGAGTGATAAGGCGTAAAGGTAGGCGCTTGATTGTGTCGCCCGAACGATGAGTTGTCGAGGCTCATCAGCGCTAATCCCATGTTTCCTCCGTTGCTCTGTGTTGAATGTGCAGGTGTCCTTGTATGCTGCTGCTGGTCGAAGTGCGACATGAAGCTGAAGAACCTTTCCATAAGGTTCAGGTCCACGCTTGAAGAGGGTGATGGAGTCACCATTTCTGGTGTTCTTTCTGTTGTTTCTTGAGCAGCGCCGGTCTCGGTCTGCAGTCCTGAAGTGTGCAGTCCAGAGTTGCCGGGTTGAGTGTCTTGGCCACTGGGTGAGCCCATAGAGGTTTTCTTACCCTTGCTGTCCATGACTTGTAATCAATGAAGTCGTTGGTGTTCTGATTGTAGATAGAGCGTAGTTGCTGGGAGTTTGGTGTCTGACCAGCTCTCATACCATGTTGGGCTAAGAAAAAGCCCTTTGGATCTTTCCAGAGGCTAAGTCCCAGTTGTAAAAGGAGACTTGAGTAGTGCAGCGGAAGTTGAGTAGTTGAACCCTTGTACTAGTATATGAGAACAAGTGATTGATTAAAGAAACAAGCATACAGCAATATATAGAAAGTAGGAGAGTAAAGCAGTTGTAGAATACAGTTGAAAGAGCGGTTATCGAGTCGCACAGCGACTCGATTGTCGCTTCGGTTACCATCTTTGCAGTTGTAACTGTCAGTCGCAACCTCTTGTTGCGACCCTTCGAGTCCTTTCGTGTTCTTTGTCCATCCCCTCGTGTAACCTCCGTTGACTCGCGTACCCGTTACGACCTTCCTCGAGTGTGGTGTTACACTTCAGAAACGCTTAAGTCCTTGAGATATTTCCAACAAACTTCTAGTCAACTATTCAGTTCTTACTTTAACATGGTAGGCTCCATATCTTCCCTGAGGAAAGCCTCCCAAGTACCCTCCCTAGAGATAGAGAGAGGATCGACAGGGTTATCCCAGTGCCACGACAATTTTTTCACGTCGTTCCCTCTCCTCTTTCCCACTTCTCCTTCCTTGGTCAAATTATATATATATATATATATATGTATATATATATATATTTGTTAAGGCTTGATAGGTGTGCTACATTGCTGGATCCTACTGTAGAGGGGACAACTTCCTCCTTGTATCTCTTTCTCCTCCTAGTTGGCCCTCTTTCTCTCGTAACTCTTCCCCCCTAGCTAAACCTCCCGACAGTTTCTCATGGCTACCTAGCTTACTGTAGCTCCTAAACGCCCTCTCGACATCCCTCTCCTATTCCCTCTTACCTACTCCTATTTCTCTCTCCTCCATCTCTTTTTCTCTCTTCTTTTCTCTCCTCTTTCCTCTGTTGTTCCCTCTCTTTCCTTGTTTGCCTTGCGGATCTTATGTGGAATCCAATACAAAACGTGTGCATTGTTGCACTTGGCACCTTGTAACTTGTAGCTCCTGGCCCACATACTGCTACACCGGTTGCCGTATGCTAGACAATCTTCTATTCGAACACCAGATGCACACCGCATGAGGCAGCGCCCACAGGTGCCATACAGTAGCATCAGGAATCAGGGAGTCGCCACGCACACCCACCACTAAGCATAGGACGATGCTGGGAGAGAGGAAGGGTATAAAAGACGTCCTTTGAGGCGTCTCAAAATGCGTAGGACGAAGGTGGGAGAGAGGAAGGGAGGGAGGTAGTGGTGGTGGTGGTGGCATGGGAGAGGGACACTGGAGGGCTAAGGTGAGGTAGGTGGGTGTGGCTTAGCTACACTTCACTTAGCTTGGGTTAGTGTCTACTCTAGAAACAGCTTGGAGAGGCGTTCGTACTTGCCAATGTTGTGGCCGCCTGCATAGTGCACTATGAAGTCCCCTGGCGTGTACTCATTCTGAGTGTGGCTGCAGGGCACACTCATGTACCTGACCGTGTGGGGGAGAGGTAAGAGTTATATTGGAATGGAATGGTGGGTTGTTGGCAACGATGGGTAGAAGGGCAGAGGGAAAGAGTAGATGGAACAAGAGTGGAGGGCAATGTGAGGAGTGGATGGGTTTTGATGGGAAGTGGATTGCAGGTGAGAATGGCAGGGCATGTTATGACATAGCAGAGCATGGTACCTGTACGGAATGATGCTGACGTGTGCATGGAAGTCGTGTGCGTGCTTCAGCCGGTACAGGTCGATGGCATCATGGTCCCAGAACTCTGGCCGGATGGACGAGTGGTAGAACTGGTACTGCGCCTCCAGGAATGACTGCAAGGTTGGTTGGCAAGAAAAGGGCATCATCAATACAAGTCTATAGCATTGTGGTTTCAGTGCATGAATGAATCAGGAAGGAACGGGGTATCATGGTCCCAGAACTCAGGGCAGATGGACTTGTGGTAGAGCTGGTACTGCGCCTCCAGGAAAGGAGGTTGACAAGGAAAGGACATCAATAAAAGTCTATGGCATAATGGTTTCAGCGCACGGATGAGGAAAATGATATCAGAACTCCGGGCGGAGGGACGTGTGGTAACACTGGTGCTGCTCCTCAACGTATTACTTTTGAGTCGACTCAAAAGTCATCTCGAATGGCTGCACAACCGGCCTTCGGGGCGGGGAGGCCCTTGATACAGGTCACTATCAGGTGGCATTATCCCTTCCCAGAGCACTCAACTGGTACTGAACCCCCCATCCTCCCACATCCCAGAGTGCTTCAAAACAGGGTCTAGCGTTTTTCTAATGTTTTGCGATGGAACGCCCAATCCGGATGTGGTAGGAGGGCAACAGGCGAAACCTCTAGATTTGTAATCTCTCGCAACACCCTTTGTCCAATTCGGCACCTCGCGGGCCAATCAAAGTATCACACGTTTCGCACGAGTGAAAATAACGGAAAAACAAGACCCTGGTTTTAAACTGGTACTTTACCTTGGCCCAAGGCGTGCTGTGCACGACATACACCCCCGTGTTGACGTGCGAGTCGTCTCTCGGCTCAGCATACCGCCCGTATCGATACGCCATGGTGTAGACAATGTCGCTGGCGCTCGTGTTGTAGGGCGGCGGCAGGTCCAGCAGGGAGTGGAAGGAGAGCGTGTGGTTGAGGATGAGCGCATCCGCGTCGATGTGCACCACGGTCTCCGCGAAGGAGAGCACCAGCAGCATGGCGCGGACCTGAGAAGAAAACATGGGGAAGAGAACCGAAGGGAAGGGGGGGGCAGCAGGCGAGGGAAGGGGGGCCAAGCAGGCGAGAGTGAAGGTGAGAGTGCTTCTAGTGAGTGCATTGGCATCTAAGTGCACTACGATCTCAGCAAAGGACGGGACGAGCAGCGTGACGCAAACGTGAGGGCGAGGGAGGAGACAGAGGAGATGAAGAAGAGGGGTAAGAGAAAAGGGGAGAGGAAAAAGGGCCGGGACTGCGAGTGAGGATGAGAACAGGAAGTTGACGGACGAAGAGTAAGGGGAGGAGAGCGAGGAAGAGAGCAAGTGAGGGAGTGAGTGAGCGAGTGAGTGGGTGAGTGGGTGAGTGTGTGAGTGGCTGCGCGGGTAAGTGGGTGAGCGAGTGGGTGGATGAGTGGGTGAGCGGGTGGCCGAGTAAGGCACGCAGGGAGGCTGCGCACCTTGGACCAGGCATGGGGGCGCACGAAGTCCAGGCTGACGGACACCTCGCAGTACCTGCACGCATGGCGCGCACAGTACAGCAGGCGGTTGCGTCTCATCAGCACCACGTAGTCCTGCATGCGCAAAGGAGAGGCGAAAGAGAGAGAGGGGGGATAGGGGGGGACATGCAGCGAGGGAGGACACAAAGGGATAGTCAAAGGGTGAGGTGGGAACGGAGGGAGAAGAAGAAACTTGGTTGGAGGCGAGGAGAGGGAGCGAGAGAGGGAGAGGAAGCAGAGAAAACAGCCCAATCCCCTGGGCTCACCCAACTCTTCCAAAAAGAACGTTCCGTCACTCACCACAGGCCAACAGGCCCACAAGGCACAAGCGGTTGGTAGGTAGTCGTATTGGCAGGCAGGCAGAGAGGCAGGCGCACCTGGGGCAGGTCGAGTGCGACAGTGAGGAGCGTGAGGTTGCCATGGCCGAAGCACAGGGAGGTAGGCCTCTCAGACCACCGCATCTGGCGCTGCAGCACCTGCTCGTCCACGCCCTCCGCTGCCGCTGCTGCCAGCGCTGCCGCCAGCTTGTGGGGGCCCCCGCCTGATCCTTTCCCCCTCGCCGCTGCTGCTTGCGCCCGTGCTGCTGCTGCCCACTTGCTACTCGTGTGCTCCGATACAAAGTCTGAAGGGAACGAAGGGACGAGGGGAGAGGGGCGAGGGGGGAGGGGAGAGGGGGGAAGGGAGAGGGTCGAGGGGCGAGGAGCGAGAAGAGGTGAGGGAGGTTTTGATATGCTTGCAGGTATCACTCTGCTGCTGTCCGCGCACTGCCCGTTGGCTCTGATACAAAGTCTGGGGGCCAGGGGGAGCGGAGGGGGGTGAGCAGAAGCATAATGAGACGGAGTTTTTGGGTTGATTGTGGGTCTCTACTGCCGTTCCCTCCCGTCGCTTCTGCGCACGTGCTGCAGGTGCTTTGATACGATGTGTAACAGGGGGCAGGGGTAGAGGGGGGGGGACGGAGGACTGGGGTGATGGGCAAAGGAAGAGGGAGGATGGCGGCGGGGGAAAAGCTGTGAGACGCAGAAGAGAGGCAGAAGAAAGGCAGAGGGGTTTGACACAAGAGCACCTGAGACTGTGCTCAAACACTTGAATCGAGCAAATTGCCACCCACGTGAGACCCGCAGCTGAGACGGATGAACGAGCACCTGAACCAGTCGTGATACAGGCAGATGATGAGCACCGGAGACTCTGCATGAGCACCTGAGACTCTGCATGAGCACCTGAGACTCTGCAGGAGCACCTGAGACTCTGCATGAGCACCTGAGACTCTGCAAGAGCACCTGAGACTCTGCAGGAGCACCTGAGACTGAGGGGTCTTGGGGGATGTGCACGGCGCGGCGCACAGCGAAGGCGCAGAAGGCGAGCATGGCGAGGTACCCCACGCGCATCACGGCGCGCTGGCGGGTGGAGAAGCGACGGCGCTTGGGAGAACCGGCCATGGGGAGGCGCGCGAGGTGGAGGGTAGGACGAGGGGAGGGAGAGAGGAAGGGGGGAGGAGGGGAGGGGGAGATGGGGGGAAGGGGGGAAGGGCAGGGGGGGGGAGAACGAGAGAGGAAGGAGACAGAGAGAGGGGGTAGGAGGGGAGAGCGGGGAAATGGGGGCGCGGGGAATAGGAGGGGGTGGGGGGATCGGATGCTTGGTTTAATGTTGACCGTCGTATTCACATGCGACTGGATGCGACAGCGGAGGCGGAGAGGAACGCGCTGGGCGTGGAGAGAGTGGATTGTTGAGGAGAGGGTGAGAGGTGAGAGGTGCCGGTGATGCTGGTGATGCCGGTGATGCTGGTGAGGGCGTTGGGAAGCTGCTGGGAAGGTGGTGTTGGAGGCGCGACGAACGAGTGCACGAGCACGAGCATTAGCGGGCTTCGCGGGCATCCAACGCTCCGAGTGTCATCACCTCCATTGGCTGCCTACGCCGAATCCTCTGTCTCCGCTGTCTTTGCTGTCTTAGCTATATCGCTTGCTGCGCGTTCTTCTGCTGCAATACGGATTCCGCAAGCCTATTGTACGACTTCCTACTAACTGAGTACTGCCTCGAGCATCCTTCGACTACAGCAGCCGTTTATTCTCCGCCCGCTTATCGTTGGGCCACGAAATTCGCATCCGTGCAGCTGCCATTGTCGCAGTCAGCGGCTTGTGTTTTCCTAGTCGGCTCCTCCTCTCGCCGCCGCGTCTCCATATGGCGAGAAACACTTTCGCCGGCCAAAGCACTGCGCATAGTAACGGCGAATGATATAATATCAGGTCACGAAAGAACCATAAGTGGGGGTAATTGATGAAGGGCAGGACACCATTGAGCCGACTGTAGTCAAAGCTTGCTGCTGAACGAATGCTGCGGTGCGGAACGCAAGTGCTTGCTGCTGAGGTTCAGCAGAGAGACAGATGGCGGGAATCCCCATGTTGCCAAAAGCAGGTTTCACGACCAGCAGGGAGCAGCATAGAAAGGGGGTGTATCAAGTAGCTGAACAGTACGATGTCAGGCTTGTGACGTCGAGTCACCGCCTCTGAACGCACGGAAAGCTTCTCGATCTTGAGGAAACGTACTGTACCGAGCTGGGACGTCGGGTGACAATCTTAAACAATCAGACAGCATGTTGAAATGATCATCGTGGGCGGTATTTCAGCCTACCTGTTATGAATTATAACTCAAGAGTATAGCGTAGAATACTTGAGGGGAACGTGATTACAGAATTGTAGAGAATGTTGATAGAAATGAGGCCTAGGCAATATATAGGGCGAGTTGACCAGGGTTGGACCAGTCAAGGGCTCGATAGTCCCGATGATGACAGGGTCAAAATGGGTTCGGGGCGACTCGGGATGAGGTTGGGGCTGAAATGGTCGACGGGGGCTGGTTTGGCCCGAGAGTGTCTCTAGAACAGGACTTCAACGATTTTTATGGGCTGCTGGTTGTGCTGGGGGGAACTGTCTCTGGCTTCTAGGACTAGCCAGATTATCCCCTTGTATCCCCTAATCATACCCAATTCATTACTCTGAGATGGTATCACGCGCTAGGTTAGGTCCTCCCCGCCCACCCGCGCTTCCGCCCTAGTCCTACTCCTAGCTGCTCGTTCCTAGCCGCTAGTCGCTAGCCGCCCGTCGCTAGCCGGCTCTGCTAGCCGCTAGCCGCTCACCGCCGCTTGCCGCTAGCCGCCAGCCGCCTGTAGCTGCTAGCCACCCGTACGCGCCAGCCGCCTGTCGCCAGCCCTGTAACTCGCAGGCCCCGCGCTCGCCAGCCCCGCGCCTGCCGACCTCGTCGCTCGCTGGCCCCGCGCTCGCCAGCCCCGCGCCTGCCGGCCCCGTCGCTCGCTGGCCCCGCGCCTGCCAGCCCCGCGCCTGCCAGCCCCGTCGCTTGCTGGCCCCACGCCTGCCAGCCCCGTCGCTCGCTAGCCTCGCGCTCGCCAGCCCTGTCGCTTGCTGGCCTGTAGCTCACTGGCCTTGCGCGCGCCAGCCCTGCGCGTGCTGGCCCTTCGCTCGTCGGCCCTCCCGTCGCCAGCTACGCGCTCGACAGCCCCTCGCTCGCTGGCCCCGCGCTCACTGGCCCTCACTCGCGAGCCCTGCACCCGCCAGCACCGCGCTTGCGGGCCCCGCGCTAGCCAGCCCTGCGCCCGCTGGCCCTGCCTTCGCCGGCCCCTCACTCGCCAGCCCTATGCCCACCAGCCGTCGTTCCGCCGAGCCGCCGCGCCGCCGCGCCTCTGAGCCGCAGTGCCGTCATGATGCCGTGTCGCCGAGCCGTCGCGTCGCCGGGCACTCGTGCCGCAGTGCCGCCGTGACGCTGTGTCGTTGCGCCGCCGAGCCGCTCTGCCACCCCCACCTGCCGGCCTTGGCTCCCCTCTGAGCCGGCGCTCCCGTCGGCAGTCTCCATCGCTCTCCACCACACGTCACCACTCAGCACCGCACTCCACCGCTGTCAGCACCAGCTTCAGACCGGCCCCTACCGCGGTACCGTCTGCGACCGTCCAGGTCACACCGCCGCCCGCTGCTACCGCCGCCTTGAAGACCTCTACAATCTCCGCTTTGGTCCAACCTCGGACCATCCTGACTCGTACGCCCTGGCCCGCCGTCGTGTGCCCGTCTTTGAGCTCGACATGGATCAGATTAGGACAGCTATGTATGTCATGTATGCTGATGACTCTAATGTGACCGCATCTGATTACCCTATGTTGTCTAGTATAGGTGTGCCTCCTGTGTGTAGTTTAGGATCCCCTGCTGCGTCAGGCATAGGACCTCTTGCCTGGTTTAGCGTAGGCTCTATGCTAGCCCCTCCGTCAGCTGCCGCTACGGCAGACGCTACTGCTAAGCTCTCTTTCACGCTCGACTATGGAGCGTCTGCTTGCTTCTTTCGCGACCACACTTCGCTCACGCCGCTTCCTGCCCTGCCGCTGTAGCGCTTGCTGACCCCTCCTCAGGTATAGTAGTCGCATATAGCTCCACTACCCTTCCCTGTCCGGCGGTCCACTCGGGATCTCTTACAGGCCTGCACATCCTCTCGTTCTCCAGAAAACTAGTTGGTGTCTGCTGTCTTCAAGACCTTGGAGTCACCACTATGTTCCATGGACACGAGCGGTACGTTGTCTGTACCAAGGCCGCCACTGGTGCCCCTCTTACAGTATTCCTCCGGGACCCCGTTTCTGGCCTGTTCACGCTGGACACTATGTCCCCCCCAGTGGGAGCACCCCCCTCAGGTCGCCGCGCCCTCTCAAGTGGCTGCAGCCTCCTCCTATCGGTCGCTCACCCACCCTTCACTGCTATGGCACCACCGCCTAGGTCACCCCGCACTCTCGCGTCTGAGTCACATGTCCCATCACGGGCTTGTCCGCGGTCTTCCTGTATCTCTCCCTACCCTCCCTCCCTCACCTGCGCCGCCGTGCACGCCCTGCGTTGAGGGCCAGCTGTGCCGTGCTCCCCACTCCTCCTCGCTCTCCCCTACCACTGCACCACTCCAGACCCTGCACCTGGATGTTTGGGGTCCCGCCCCTGTCCCTGGGCTGCGTCGCGAGCGCTACTTTGTAGTGCTTGTCGACGACTTTACGCGCTACATCACGGTGTTTCCCCTGGAATGGAAGGCCGATGTGCCTGACGTTCTTATCTCGTGGTTCTTAGCTATGCGAGTCCACCGCGGCCTCCCCGTGCAGCATGTCCACTGTGACCGTGGCGGCGAGTTTGCCTCCGGTCGGCTTGGCCAGTTCTTTTGTGCGGATGGCATCACCCGGTCGTACACCCTGCCAGACTCCTCGCAGCAGAATGGGTCGTTGAGCAACGCATCGGTTTGGTCATGGAGGTGGCTCGTACCTCCATGATCCATGCCAGTGCAACCCTTTTTCTATGGCCGTTCGTCGTTTGCTACGCCGCTCACCAGCTTAACCTTTGGCCACACTCCCAGCGGCCGCATGTTTCGTCGACCCTCCTCTGGACCGGGTTCCCTGGTGACGCTTCTGAGTTCCACGTCTAGGGATGCCTTGCTCACGTTCGTGCATCTGACACGGACAAGCTCAATGCCCGCACTGTCCCTTGTGTCTTCCTTGGTTTCCCCCTGGATAAGTCTGACTGGCACTTTTACCACCCGTAGTCTCACCACTTATTTCACCCGTGTGACGTCACTTTTGACGAGTCTGTCTCCTTCTATCACCGCTTTCCCCACCAAGGTCTCCCGGTTTCCCCGCCCCTGTTTCTGGTTCCCACTCCCCTGGTAGCCCCTGCTCCTCTCCCTCCCCATTCTGCCCTGTTTGGTGTGTCTGGTGTGTCACTCCCCTCCCATCAGTTGTCGCGCTGGAGGAGTCGGCTGATTCTGGTGGACCTGCGGCACCGTTCTTGCTGCCTCTCTCTGCCCTGGTGTCTCCTCCTCCGCCGTCGCAGCAGCCGCCGCCGTCGTCGCCGCCGCAGCAGCAGCCGCTGCATGGGTCCGCGTGCACTGCGGGGTGCGGACGTTGAGGAGGGTGCTCGTCCTGGGGTTCCTGACGTGGCTCGTCACGGCGATCCTAGGGGTGGCACCGGTGTTGGAGAGGGTTCTTGCTTGAGGGATTTTGGAGTGGAGTATCTCGGAGGTAGCCGTAGTACAGCTAGAGGTTCTGGTGTCGGCGCGGAGCAGTAGCCGCAGCAGCAGTCGCCGCCGATTTCCGCCCTTCGCCTCCTCGGTCTTCCCTCCCCTTACCACCCGCCTAAGCCTCCCCCGTCGCCTCCTCCCCTGCCTGTCTACGGCCCTGTATTTCCTCCGCCGGACTCGTCTCCGGCTCGTTTCCCCCCTCGTTCTCCTCCTGTGTCTCCTCCTGTGTCTCCTCCTGTGCCTCCTCCTGTGTCTCCTGACCCAACACCTCCCTCCCACTTCTGGACTTGCTGCCCCTCTCGTGCTCGTCCAGTCTCTCCTGTTCAGCACTCTCACCCTATGTTGCTCCGTTCCCATGCGTCTCATCCTCCTCTCCTACCGTTGCCTCCTCCGTCGTCGCTTGTTGTCGCTCCGCCTCCTCTGTCTGACTTCCTTCGTGCTGCTAGTTTTCTTGTTCCTCGGGTCCTTGCCTCTCTCGTTATCAACCTGTCTGTTCCTGTTTCGACTCTTGACGCTCTTATCGCTGCCCTCGCTGGCTTTGCCTCTACTCGCTGCCTTGACTATGCTACAGCTCTGGTCTCTGACCCTGCCCGTCCTTTGTCCGTCGTGGGTGCTCCTGCCCTTGGAAGTGACGTCCTGGAGGACCGGCAGTACGAGCTCGCTTTTCTGTCCGAGGCCGCTCCTCATCTCTGCTCCATGCCGCTAGTCCCTGAGGGTGATCTAGACGCCCTTGATATCCAGAACCCTCGCACTTACGCTGAGGCGACCTCGGGACCCTTGGCCTCTCAGTGGATAGCTGCCATGGATGCGGAGATGGCATCTTGGAGACCCACACGCACCTACGTCGACGCAGTTCCCCCACCCTGGGTGAACGTAGTCGATGGCCGATGGCTCTTCAAGGTGAAGCGCCCTCTCGGAGAGCCGCCTGTGTTCAAGGCGCGTTACGTGGCTAGAGGCTTCATTCAGCGCGAGGGTGCTGATTTCTTTCAGACCATCGCCCCGACCCCGAAGATGACTACTCTTTGGGCACTGCTACATGTAGCAGCACTGCGTGACAACGAGCTGCACTCTCTTGACTTCTCCACAGCGTTTTCTCCAGGGCGGTCTGCACGAGCAGGTCTACCTGCATCGTCCGCCCGACTTCATCGTCACCTTCACCCCCGGTACCGAGTGGCTCCTCTGGCGCCCTGTTAAAGTCTCTTGGAGGCACCCCGTGAGTAGCACGACACACTGCGCGCTACGTTAGCTGACCTGCAATTCTTCCCGTCGTCTGCAGACCCTTCGTTCTTCGTTCGTGCTGGCCAGACCCAGTTCTACATCCTTGTGTACGT